AGGGCAAGGGTATGGTTTGCGATCGGGTTACTCACCCGGGAGAACACGCGTGTTCAGGGCAAAAGAATTGAACGTTTAAGAACTTTGCGGTATCACAAACCCTGACCCTCCATATTGTCGCCAATTAAAAGGTGACACTATTTTTACCATCTGATGATAAATAGTAAGTGAATTTAATGCCACCTCGAAGGCACTGTCAAAAAGGTATTGCATTGTCGTACTTTCACTCCGATGAATACCCTAAAGCATCTTGCCGAGTCTCACGCAACAGACGAATATCGCCAGTTTTCTCTTAGCACGATTGCTCCCCTGAGTAAGTAACCCTCGGCCATAAACTATACCCTTACTCACCGTAACATGACCTCTAAAGTCTCTCTTGTATTTTCAATTCTTTTTAAGTCGTTCGCTACCAATTCGGAGTTTCGGTTTATTCGTCTGTGCCGGCGTGCAAGCAATTAACAAGGTTTCGTAAATCTCGGCAGACCTCATAAGTTGGAAAATTTACTGTAGACACTGACAGACTTTCCGACATGTACTCCTGTGAAGACTTATTCCTGCTATGTTCCTAACCAGAAAACCGGACGGAATCATCCTCTCCCAAGTCAACGCATCTCAAATGCAAAAAACAGTGATTCCACCAAAAAGTGTACACTCTAGGTTGGGAAACCTTACCTACCAGCATAGGGTTGACTTACTACCATACGACATACCAGCCCCAGGGTTATTTGGGGGTTTATGTACTTGGTTTTTTGCGACACCCCTGCTCTCCTTGAAAGGATACATATTCCTAACCAGAAAACGATCTACCTTCCCGCCTCTGTTGTATATTTATCCCCGTGAAGGTGATATCTAATTGGACGTTTTTTTTAACGCACGTAGGCCTGTTTCTGTGCTGAGTGACATTTTTGCGGAAATGGGTGTAGTTCATGAGTTAGGCCACCTGCCTATACCCATAACAGGAGCAGACCACATTGATCCGATCAAAGTCTCGCTGTTACCCCCCAGAAGCCTCGTTTGTCTCTATCAATATTCCCCTCACAGGGGTTCTCAAACGACATCGGTTGCAGGTCTAAGAGAGGCTACTTTTTGCTGATCACAGACCGTCAATTTTGCTGCCAGATTGACGACCTTACGATGGAATCTTGGACACCGGTTCACATTCTTGATAATAGATGACCTCGATTCCCATTCCCGACATGTTCATTGCATTTGCGCAGTAGACAATGAGATGCTGGGCTTCGATGTCCTCCTTGATAGGGTAAATCAGGTTCACTCAGCACTGACACCCACTTTCGGAAAGTAGAGGGGAGAGTGCATTCCCACTCCGAACGTCGGACATTGACGGAGCAGTGCGCAATTTTCTACAGTTTCCTTACTCTAGGTCAGGAACTACGCTTGTTTCGATGTCTGATCAATCGAGCCGGGAAAATACGTTTTGTGGTAGAGGGACGTTCACTGATCGTTTCTACGGAACTCACTCGTCCCGTTGTGCCTTAGGGCTCTCTCTCTCGAGCCCAGAAAGCGGCCGCACAGCGGCGCATAGTATAGGCAGGATGGTATTACCGACAAAGACAAGGGAGATTGGGGTGGTAATTTCTGGCTTATCAGTCGTCGTCAGTCAGTCATGACCAACCCCGGAGTGTGGAACACCTGAGACTCGAACTCGCGACCTTTTAGTTAGAAGTCCAACGCCTCTAACCACTGAGGCGCGGGCCCGTTGTTCTGTCGGTTTTGATCGGGAATATACGATGGTAGAGGGGCGCTCACTGATTTTTCTTACGGAACTCATTCGTCTCGTTGTGTCTTAAAGGCTCGCGGCTCAGTGGTTAGAGGCGTTGGACTTCTAATTAATAGGTCGATAGTTCGAGCCCCAGATGTTCCACACCTCAGGGTTGGGTATGACTGGCTGATGATGGCTAATAAGCCAGAAATGGTCATCCCAGTTTCCTTTGTCTTTGTCGGTAACACCAAAATACGTTCTGTCAATGGGCCGGAGAGCGAACTCGCCTTCATACGAACCGTTCCTTCCCGGGTAATTTTATCGATGCACGCATAAAAGAAAACCGCGAAAGAGCAAAACGTGACAGAGCTTAAATAAAAGGTGCTATGCCTCCTATTCTCATCTAAAGTGGACACGGTCAGTGAAGCCGTACGACATCGCCTGGACTCCGTCATTACACGCACATATCCAGCGAGAAAGACAAGCCTAACTTTCCAAAGTACTCTCGCCTCCCTCGCCTCGACAGCACGGGTAGGCTGTCCTTGTGAACCTCTTCAATGTGCATTTAGATCTTAACTAGTGACCAGAGAAGGCTATATTTGTCAAACGAATAAGCCTCTATTCAAATGCAACTGAGGACACTATCCTGACTGGGTAAATATGAGAGGGTTCTTCCCCAACCTGGTTGACAGCAGCCATCGTCAATAAAGTGCCCGCGAGGTATTCCAAGTTCCTGTGCCAGTGGATACTTGTGACGGCAGGGGTGGGGGGGAATGGCGACCATATGTCTGTCTAGCCAACTGAACCTCATGCCCCACAGAAGGCGTTCACCTCAGCCCTCCAGCTATCTTGGCCCCACATGCTCTTACCCGCATTCGGCTACGCGGCTTTACAGCGACGTAACGCAGACACATTTAAGTGCCACCCTTCACCGTCACCTTGATTTCAGAGGTAGATCATAATCCCTCCCTCCCTCCCGTTTGGCAAATCAACGCGCCCCTTGCAGCTGGTCATTCGCTGCACTTGTGAAAAACTCGGCGTCCGCCGTGGGATTCGAACCCACGACAGCAAGTGAAAGCCAATTGCTCTTACCGCCTGAGCTACGAGGTACTACCGTCAGCCGTGATTCAAGCCACATCTGGATCGAGTTAACCACCCAGCCTACTGCAGCGTATGAAATCCCCTGACTACCGGAGCAGGAATTCTTAAGCAATCGATCCGGAGTACACAAGATGACGTAAACTACTTTACAGGTCTGGTGATTAATAAACGGAAAAGCCCGTCTTACAACTTCAACTACTTTGCATATCTCTGCTTCCTATTGGTGAGGATGGCAGTCAGATGGACGCTAACTTAATCCCCTTAAAGCAGAGCTCACGGTCTCAAAAAAACTTAGTTGCTTCAGACGGAGCCAATTATTAGGCTGTCAGGGTAGTTCGACTGAAAACCAGTTAGGACAGTGAAAGCAAAAACAACCACAGCAGATTTCGCTGCTTTAGATTGGATCTACGCCAAAGAGAACATCATAACTACACGAAACCAAACGCCATTACCGAGTGGTCGGACTTTTAGCTAGGCAAGACCCCGGGGAGAACAACTAAAGCCACCCTGTAAGGATAGTCTGTGTGCGGCTACGGGGTTGGAAGCCGATGTAACACTGAGGTCTAACGCAAGTATTTTTATCTGACGCCTTGGCAAACCTAGGGTCAGCTGTGATCTCATCACTACCAATGTCATACCTATCATCATCCTCGTAGTCGTAAACATAAGCATAGTCTACACTGCCATTATTATAATCATTACTACGAATAGTATCATTGTATTCTTTGTCCTATTAACATCTTGCTGTGTATCTAACCATTCAGACAAAATCTCATACACTTCAACCACTTCTCTCCTATTGGCTAGGACACTTTTGACGTCTGGGTTGCCCTTGGGGATGTGCTTAGAGTTTACCTCTAACCCCCCAGTAAAGAGTAATCCCGAACCTACCGCTGAAGAATGAAAGCACAGCAGGTCGTGCTCAAGGCCTCCATGCCTAGACATCGGGCAGTCAGAAGCAACTGCTGGATCTCCGCCATGGTAACGGCAACCACACCCGTATACGCGTAGGCCAGTATCTGCTGCATCGTGCTAGCGTAAGACAGACTTTCAGAGGCAAAAAAGAGAGCAATTCAAACCTTCTCTCCACCCCCGGAAGGGGAAGAACGGCGGCAGAGGTGTGCGGTCGATCATCATTTGCCTCCAACAGACGTTGCCTGAAGTGGGGAATGCGTACGGCCAAGATGCAACGGTGCGCCGCTAGCTGGCCATCCCTCAGCTGGGCGGGAGTAATAGGAGCAGGCAAAATGCCGACACTCACCTTGATTGTGACGTCAGCGAACTTCTCGTCCGCCAGTAAGATTCCTCCCGCGGAAAAGGCCTCGAAGAAGGGCGAATTGTCATGCAACTCCCCCACCTCTGTTGCCTGAGAAGTAGATGTAGTGGGCCCGGCGGCAGCCGACACCTCCATAGCTGAACTCTGTCCAGTAGGTGCACGTTGTCCCGGACACGACTTTTCGTGGGCTCATTGCAGGCAGCGAGTTCATTGGTTTCCAGAGGTAGCCAATCATTGGACGCGTAGGACCTAGTGACTCCCGAAACATTGGGTACTGCATCCTCTCCGAACTCTGATTGGTTCGGCTGTTTTACGTGCTCGGCAGGCGTCGTTGTGATGCTTGGCGGCAATCTTCGTAATGGTGGGGATTTTAGTGCCAGCAGAGCCAATTATATCGTTTTTAGTGATTGCAACAACAGCTACTTTCTGGTCATGGCAGAGCTTATGGTATCTGCCATTGAGGAGTGGATGCGGCGCCAAACGCCGTGGATTGACGCCTCAACTCAGTCCGCGCAGTCTGCCCAGCTGCATTCGTTTGTATGGAGTGGCGGACTGGTGGGCTGAGAGTAAGGCTGTTACGGCTCCTTTGGGACTCTTATGCATGCAAGGAGTGTGTGTGTGTGTGTGTCTGCTTAAAAGGTAGTGCCTTTCAGTCGATCAATGACTGGCTACCCAGCCTTTGAAGGGTGGTGGCTCAGACAAATGTAGGGCCGCGTATCACCCTGCTGGGCGCCAAGGAATGCGAGCGTCTGCCAGGCCAGGATCAGCAAACCATGGCCCTCGCAGCCTGTAGCGCACTGGCAGTTCTCTGGCACCTGGCTTCCAGGAGCGCTTGAGCTTCCGCTGGGTAGACAGGTCATGAGCATGACTGCCCAGTCATCGTCCTCGTCCTCCTTACCCGTATCATCCAAATACTGGGCCCCGAACTTCGGTCTGTGGTGTTGGAAGACCAGCGTGGCCAATTACTCCGCCTAGACGAACTGTCAGAACGCTGTATTGAATGGGAAGATCATTGCACTTGTTAAGAGACTGGGGGCCAGTAAACCATGACTCAAGCAGCTCCCGGCTCACGCGGTTGTCACCTCTTGCGAGATTTTCGGCCTCGTCAAATTTGAATTTATGGCGGGAATCCGTCGAATGAGCCGCAGCTTGAGAGCTAGCGTCATTTCTCCACACTGCTGCAGCGTGTTCGGCCATTCGCGTTCGGAGCTGTCTTCCGGTTTCTCCGACGTAGTTGCTTTGTCCGCAACTGCACCAGATCCGATAAACGACTCCAGACGTTTCTAGCCGTGGCAGTGGGTCTTTTGGTTTCATCAGTTGACGCCTGATGGTTGCCTGCGGTCTGTGTGCAACTCCAACCCCCAGCGGTGCGAGAAGGCGGCCAACAGCTTCCGAAGCTTTCTTGACATATGGAAGCGCTCGCCAAACTTTGGTGTCCCTGCGGTTAGGCCTTTCGTCCATTTTGCGTATGCACCGGTCGACAAAGTTGCGCGGGTAGCCATTGGCCTTGAATACCCGTCGGAGGTATTGTAGTTCGGCAATCTTGTCTTCCGGCCCACTGCAGTGCGTTTCGACACGCCGATAGAGCGTCCTTACACAACTGCGTTTTGGGCTGATTGGGTGGTTACTGTTGAAGTTCAGTACTTGCATCGTATTTGTTGCTTTCCTGAACACTTTGGTTTTTAGTCCACCACAGTCGTTACTGCATACGAGGACATCCAGGAAGGCCAGCTGTTTGTTCTCGTCCTCCTCCATCGTAAATTGTATGTACGGGAAGACCGCATTCAGACGTTCTTTGAATGTCAGCAGTTGATCCCGATCGATAACGACGAAGGTATCATCCAAATACTGGGCCCCGAACTTCGGTCTATGGTGTTGGAAGACCAGCGAGTCTAACCGTTGCAGGACCGCCTCGACGATGAATCCCGAAATCGGCGAACCTCTTGGTGTGCCCTTCACCTGTTCGTAGATTGTCCCGTCGAACGTGGAGTACATGCTAAGACAGAACTTTAGGAGTTGAAGGATTTGGACGCGTCCAAGACGATTCTCCGTTTCATCTTTTTTGTTTTGTAGAAGCAGCTCGATTGTTTCGATCGCTAGGTCCTGGGGAATAGAAGTAAAAAGGGATGTGACATCAAAAGATACCATGACCTCATTTGGATGGATGCTTACCCCTTTGAGTTTCTCCAGGAATTGTGCTGACGAAGAGACCGTGCTGTCTAACTCAGCGGTCAGGAACTTGAGACACCGGAACAACCACTTAGCCAGTCCGTACATTGGAGTCCCTTTGAGCGACACGATAGGCCGGAGAGGAGCGCCGTCCTTGTATACCTTAGGTAGGCCATAGAATCGGGCCAAAGTCGTATCTTTGGGTCTTACCATGCGTCTGTCGGTCGGTGTTATTGCACCTGAGTTCTCCAAGGCCAACAACGTAGCATTAATTTCGCGTGTCAACGCTTTTGCAGGGTTCGTTGCACATGGGACATAGAACTGTCGATCATCCAGTAAACCTTTGGCTTTTTGAAGGTAGTCTGTCCTGTCCAGTACAACCGTGGAGCGCCCCTTGTCTGTTGGCACTATGACCAGGTCTTTGTCGGCCGACAAATTTCAACGCGATGGTAAGACTTATGGGGCAAAATGCAAAATACTTACTGATAAGTGGAACGGTACACGACGCCGAAACAAATTTTTGTGTAAAATACGTAAGCCCGCACGCTCCCATTTGCACGAGCTGGCAGAAGACCGGAAACTGATCTGTTACCGCGATCTATTCTGTCAGTGGTTACTCGGTTAGTGAGCATATTTTAACGAACTTATGACCCTTTTAGCAGGGCAAAATAAAAGACACCAGGATTAGGACTTTGTCTGTACACAGCCTTGATTTGCTGCTCAAGCAGCGGTGGTTATTTTTGAGACCTGGGCACTCGGTCAGATTGTAAGTTCAGCGAATCTAGGAGCGCTAGTAGAGAAAGTGGATAACCTTGACATGCTAGAACGCCGAACAAAGACCGCAGGCAATGCAATGATGCTGATCGGCTCCATATTCCCTCCCCAATCACAAACCTGTGTAGTGACTGGAAAGGCAGATCGAGTCGGTTCGTCGTAACTTAACCACATATATATGCCGACACACGTGTGATGTCGTCGGTAAACCGGCTGATAAAAGTCTAAAACCTATCGTATTCTTTTGCTAGAGGTACAGAGACTGTTCAGCAAAGAGTCACTGGATGAATTAATCACGACAAAGTGGGATCATGCATTGCAAACTGGATTAGATCCAAGATAGTTGCATGTACAACCACAGCTGTTATGCAGGCGGGTTGATGGGGGAGATAGGAGAAATCCGATGGGAGCTGTCCTGAAGTGCTTTCACGATAAACCTTGAGCAAAAACTATTAAAACGTCTGGGAAAAACGAAATTTTGTGAAAAATGCTCAGATGACATTTTCATCATAGTTTACGATCCAAGACATGCTGAACTATCGAACAGGGCCATGAGGAGCCCGGTCACGCCTGGACGATCAAGAGAAGACGACTGGTAACTGTATGGGTCGAAGTGGAGTTGGAAACAAGGTGTCCACAAGTTCAGTCACACAGAACCTATTGAAATTCAACCAGACTGAGAATTCACGTCGAAGTTTAAGGTTATCCATTACATCTGGTCTCCTACGTTAATCCAAGGCCGCGTCATTAAGAAGAAAACCAGAACTGTGCAAAAACTTGCATCGCGGAGTCAGCAAACGCACGCCCAATGGCCCCCTTTCGCGTCTCCGCTCACACAAACGTAGACAAGCTCTCCCTGGTTAGTCTGACTGACATTTTATAGTACTCATCACGCTGCAGGTGTGACTTGTTCCAGGCTAATTGGTCCTTTCTGGGGTTTGACTATCTGGCGACGCTGTCTGTAGCCTGCCTCCCCACCATGTCGGCCATCGCCTATCAGGCTGCAGTTATCGTAAGCTACTCACATAGCAACATCTCATAATACATAAGCACCCACAGACAGTTTACATTAATTTGAAGAAGAAGAAGAAGAAGAAGAAGAAGAAGAAGAAGAAGAAGAAGAAGAAGAAGAAGAAGAAGAAGAAGGTGGGCTCACTGGAACAGGTTTATTAGGACGCTGACGTTTCGAAGAGCTTGGTCGGCTCTCCATTGTCAAAGCGTAAAATGCACTCAATCCACCAGAGATCCCAAGTGACGTGTCACGTTGAACGGCCTCCTGCTGGTCGATTTTTTTTCTCTCTCCTCTCGCTGCCGCGGCCTATCAGGGGATGGTTGACTGGTGTTTTGTCTGCTTGCATTGTAAGTCACCATTCCGCCGGGGGGGAGGTGACTGAACCAGTGTCGGGTGGGCGGTCTGGCGGTTCTTCTTCTTCTTCACCGAGTAAACTCGCCGTCGGGCTGTCTCCGTATGGCCTCCTTAAGCCCGGTGTGGTTGTTTGGTTCTGAGCTCTACGATTGTGATGACGTAGGACTTTGTAGGCCGCAGGAAGGTGCAGACGCCTGTTTATGGAGTGGGCATCGGAGAACCATGCCTTAAGAGTTAGCCTTCTGCTTTGAATGGAAGTTATTAGAACTTTCTGGGGTCGTTATGTACTACGCCCCGCGGACGTTTCATTTTGTTCAAACTCGTTCTGGTCAGAGAAGGTTTTGACATAATCTATAACAGTTTACTTACACGTTTAAAGTAACTAGTTATTTTTAGTTAAATTACAGTCGACACTACCACAGAGGATATCCCTATAAGGACGACCGGAATTCATACACTAGAAGAATAACCTGCCCTTACCGTACCAGCCAGGCCGCTCCTATGTATCCCTTGAGACATAACTGACATCCTGGCCCTGGCACTAATCATAGCCTATGTCCCAACCCTAATCCAAAACTGTGCCAGAAGTAGATACCTTCGGATATTCGTCTTACGATAAAGAAAGCTCGATTTGCTAGAAGAAGAGATATAGCCTCAGAAGACGGAGAATACACACGGTTAGGTAGTGCGGTTGAGCCAATGAACAGCATACTTTTACGAGTCTCACTATTCAGGATCAGCAGGTCCCCAAAATGTCCCTATTAAACTGGCGTCCGCTTGAAATTTTGCACACCTAAGAGGGGCCGGTGGGTATAAATTTATAAGGATCACTTAAAACCTTCACAGTGAGCCGAAGGAGTTTGCACAGGCGCCAACTCCTGGTGTTGCGCAAGCCACAAGTCGGTAGATTTTGTCAGTCTATGATGAGTATCTTTCCTCCCGGTGGAAGGAAGAGAGGGAGTTAAGTAGTTTCCTTCCGTCCCTCTGTCGCTTGGACTCGTGGCTGCCACGACTTCTATACCTCCTCACTTGGTACGGGAACTAAGAAAGCAGAAATCAAAAAGTGTAAACTGGCTTTCCTGCTGAAAAGGCCACTTAAATGGCGTTGCGGGTTGATGGTCGCAAAGCACAATCTCACACTGATGCATGCATGGCATCGTGCTGGCTGCTGACTCGTTTCGTTTGCAGTGTGCGTATTTTGCACATATTTTCGACGATGGTTTAAATTTGCAAGGAAACAACACACATACTCCACTTTTAAAGAAGTACATTCTACGACCGTATGTGTTCGGTTATAAAAAAAGTTCTGTATTATATGTATTTTTGAAGAACATTTACGCTAGTGTTACAGGATACGGTAGGATGTGCTTATGCAGCTCCACCTGATGGACACGATACTGTTGGGGTTGGGCTCTGCCCTCAAAACGGGCCGCGTGTTAGATGCGCTGGACCAACACGGGGGCCACATCGGACTCTGGCAGGCGTTATATGTGCGCAATAACAAATGCCAACATTCCCGGGGTGCGCTGGCGGACCCTGTTGTCGGCATTCGTCGCTCAACTGGACCACTGCCTCCACCCCATTGTTTTGTGGTCAAAATCCTGGTCTTGGTGTGTGGACCAGGGGTGCGGAGTGGAGCGCCAAGGCGAAGACCCGTTCGAGCCATCCACCTGCGGCCTCCCCCGTCTCCGGTCTTCTTGACTCTGTCTTGACACCGGGCCCAGGCGGGGGAGGAGGAGAGAGTGTAGGTAGATGCTACGCAAGTCTACTGGCACTATAAACCCCTGCGTAAGTCACCGTCCCTGCTCCCACAATGCAGTCTGTGGGGCACACGGTGGTCATCGTCGAAATCGACGGACGAACTGTCGGGGTTGGGCTAAGGGTTAGGGTTAGGGGTCAGTGCTGGAGGGTTAGGACAACTATTACTCAACCACTCAAAGTACAACCGCACATTCCCAATAGCTTTTCTTTTGCATACAACTACATGACTTCATCACCTGTGCGTTCCCCGGCCCCACCTGTAAAAACCCCCACTACAATTCGTCCCGTATTACAGGTGACTGGGATTTTTTTTTACTTTAGGTAGGGCTACATAACCTCATCTGATCCAGGATACCATACTAGTAGCACAGGTACTAGTCCACACGCGTGATTCGCCGATATTCCGCGGCTGCATGACACAGTTCATCAGTGGGTCATCCAGCATTTCCCATGTGCTTTCACGTTTCACATGGTTTCTACGTGTTCCAGCTGTTATTTTGCGTATAGTTTAGCAAAAGCAATACTTTCTCCTTTTATATACGCAAGAACCGCATCTCTGAAGTCTACGCAATATTTTAATCCCTCTAGATCACGTCGAAACTACACTCTTTACAGCAGTATCTTCCGATGTTATCTGACTTCCTGCACATTTGGCATGATAAACAAATATTCCTGTCCAACCTTCTCCGGGACTTTAATTAACTTTATGCATGAGTTGTTTTTTAACACATGCGACATGGACGACTATGTTTTTTTTTGAATAGCAATGACACAGTTGGTTGGGAATTCTCCTGGGCAAAATTGCTGTAATACCATGAATGAGGAAGTATCAAAGAAGCCCACATTGAGCAGCCATGTGCCTTAAATCCATCGACTGCACGAACATCATCATGGAACACATACAAGCCTGATTGGAGGAGGAGGAGGAGGACGCCGGTGTTGTAAGCAAATGCGACGGAACTGTTGGACACCTTCCACGTCCACGGCGACAGCATCAAGACCATTTTGAGGGTCCTTGACCGCGCCCATCTACAATGTGCGAGGGAGTCGTCGACAGGCCTCTTCGTGTTGACCTCAGTTACCCACCCTACCTGCAGAATACTGGGTAGAACGACACGCTGGAGGTCAAGTAGACAATTTTCGGACGTCAACTCAGCTCAAGCCGAAGCCTACAAATGCCGTGACCGACAGCGCATGGACTTGCTCGCTTCATGGGTCCGGAAGCTGCGGAGGGTGAGACGAATACTGCAGAATTTACAGGATGTCAGCACTTACCCACCGCTATGCAAATCGACCACATTGCCAATAGAAGAGCAGAGACGAGGCCCAGGAAGCAGTCTTGAAGAAGGAGACACGATTGCTGGGACAAGAGCTTTATTCGCCTGACGTTTCGGATTCCTGCTCGAAACCATCATCAGAGACAAAAGCAGCTACGGGTGGTTCATGCACAAGAGTCTCCAGTATTTATAGGATGCAGTGACCATGCTACCACATACCTGTGATTATTCACGGCTTCCCCTCTTCACCAGGGATCGTTGCACTTGGTGTGCTGACTGTTTGATGGCCGACATTGGCGTCGTTAATTGCTGCGATTTCATCACATGCGTGGGAGGTTGGTGTGGTGATTGCTCGACCATCTGACGCACCGACCCTGGCATTGGGAAAAGTGTTCAACTGTGCCTTCCCGCTACCCGTATCTGTTTTCGTCTCTGATGATGGGTTCGAGCAGGAATCCAAAACGTCAGGCCTATAAAGTTCTTGTCCCAGCGATCGTGTCTCCTTCTCCAAAACCTACCGCTCCCAACTAACCCCCCGCCCCCCGGATAATTGTGAAGTTAACGCTTCCTTGGACTGCTCTGCCCCTCCCTGTTATTTGTTCTACGCTTCACTCCTCTTCGTACAATAAAATGGTTATAGTAGTTGTCTTATCGTGTGTCTGAAGAGTGATATTCAACTAAAAATGCTTGACGCTGACTCCTTAACCATTGCCTCATGAGCTTGCACAAGATCTCTGCTTGGTGGTGGTGGTGGTGGTGGTGGTGGTGGTGGTGGTGGTGGTGGTGGTGAATATGCTTATTTATCGTGGAAATCAATATGTGTGAACACTGCGCGGTAACAGTACTCACCCTGGAACGCCGAGACGGAATTAAAGCAACAACGACAAGTGTAAAATGTAAAGTCAACGTGATCAGCCACCAAACGAGTATAAAAAGCATATTTTTGTGCATGTTTTCTGTAAAATATATTTGAATTTGTATGACCATCGAAAATCAACGTGAACAAGCATGCTACTTAAGTAGTCCCGTTTTACCGTGTGTGGTTTCTACGGGAGATCGAAAAGAAGTGCATTCAAAAGCCGAAATCCTGACGAGTCCGAAATATTACTGGATTATGCCACATGATTATCAATCTTACAACCCTACCTAGGTAATCCTTCCTGGTTGAAAACGCATTTCAGAATTTCGGCCAGCATTTCATGCGATCGGTCACTCGCTGTATAATGAATTTCGTCAGTTGATTTTTAAAGACCTAATGGGTTCCTATTTATTTTATAGACAACATGCACAAAAATTAACTGTTTCTTGCACTCAATTGGTGGCAAATCGTGTCTTTTTCTAACGTATTTACTCGAAATAAGGGTATCTTTCGGTCTAAAAAGTTTGCTATCGAGACATTTTTAAGACCGTGAAAAGTCCTTTCAAACAGCGTCGTGTCTACCCGTTTGTTAATGCGGCTTACGAAATGCACAGCACGGGCCATATCCACCATGAAATTTTGTGAGACCTATATAGTATCTTCTAAATTACATAGACGAGTGTATGCTTCTACCTAAATGGAAAGTATGCGGTTTGTAGACTCGGAACCCTAGACGTATGTGGCTCAAAAACTCTTCGGGAATTAAAACTTTTTAAAACCTAAATGTACTCTTTTTTCGAGTATAAAATTTGAAGTAGGCGTGATTTTCTTCCAAATTAATACGAGGAAGAACATTTTGAGCAGGTTGTCCACAAAATATGTTGGAATTTATATAGGCATCAAATACGAATTGGCACAATGCAGACTACTTAAGTACTCTTCTTTTTACCAAGAGTGGTTTTCCTGGGAGCGGGAAGAAGTAGATTCAAAAGCCGGCTTCCTGGTGGGACTGGAATAAATAATAATTATAAATATTGTAACCCCACCTACGTAATCCTTCCTTATTGAAAGCGCATTCCAGAATTTCGGTGAACATTGCACGGAATTGGTCACTGATTGTCTCCATGTCCGGCCCTACTCGGTTCTGTAGAAATACGACCACCAACGGCTTCATTCCGAGGTGATATAAGCATCATCATTACAGAAAGTTACTGCCTACCAGAATCGCACATCTACTTATGCTGACTGCATGAGCGCTGACAAAGATCTTCAGTCTAAAATCAGCTGACATGATACCAGCCCCCGTGGCAATTGCCACAATTCGCACAAGCACGTCAAGGAATGGCAGTTGGTTGTTCGTTTCTGATTCCATCTTAAATTGGATATCCGGGTCAACCGAGTTCAGTAGTTCCTTTAGGTGCTCAACGTCAGTTGTTTTGACAACGACGAAGGTGTCATCGACATAGCGAGCAGGTGTACAACTGGACAACTGCAAACAGCAGTATTCCGGAGATCCACCGACACGAGACAGATCCTACACTTCAACAGCAACCATCCTCTGTCTCACAAACGTAGCTGTGTCCGCACTCTATTCCAAAGAGTCGAAACCCATTGCAGCACGCCAGAAGATAAAAGGGCCGAACGAATGTATCTTCAGAACCTATTTGCAGGCCATGGCTACCCCAGACATTTTATCGAGAGAAGCAGACGTCGGGCGCACAGATAACGACCAAATGAGCAGCAACCTGAAGTCTGGAGGGCCATTCCCTACGTTAAAGGGGTCTCTGAGGCGGTCTCTCGATTGCTACAACCTGCCAGAGTAGGCATAGCCCACCGACCACAGGCGAAAATTCGACGCCGTCTGATGCAACCCAAGGACCCATTGCCACCCGCTGAAACCTCTGCAGTTATCTACAAAATAAATTGCAAAGAGGGCGACTGTAACTATGTGGGAGAAACCGGGCGGAAATAGCAGACTCGCCTACAAGAGCACAAATCGGCTACGCGGAGGTTAGACCCAAACTCTCAATTAGCAACACACGTCGGAGAAACTGGGCATACTTTCGATCTCCAGCGAGCTACCATCTTAGGCCGGGGCAACACAAAAGCCGAACGGCTAACTCTCGAGGCGTGGTTCTGCGATGCCCACTCCATCAACAGGCAACTGGACCTTCCTGCGGCCTACAAAATCCTACGTCATCACAGTCGTAGAGCTCAGGACCAAACAACCACACCGAGCTTAGGAAGGCTACACGGAGACAGCCCGACGGCGAGTTTACTCGGTGAAGAAGAAAAAGAACCGTCAGACCGACCACCCGATAGTGGTTCAGTCACCCCCCCCCTCCCCGGCGGAGTGGTGACTCACAACGTACACAGACAAAACACCCGTCAACCATCCCCTGATAGGCCGCGGCAGCAAGATAAGAGAAAAAAAATCGATCAGCACGAGGCCGGCTAACGTGACACGCTACTTAGGACTCCCGGTGGATTAAGTGCATTTTACGCTTTGGCAATGGAGAGCCGACCAAGTTCTTCGAAACGTCAGCATCCTAATAAACCTGTTCCGGTGAGCCAACCTTCTTCTTCTTCTTCTTCTTCTTCTTCTTCTTCTTCTTCTTCTTCTTCTTCTTCTTCTTCTTCTTCTTCTTCTTCTTCTTCTTCTTCTTCTTCTTCTTCTTCTTCTTCTTCTTCTTCTTCTTCTTCTTCTTCTTCTTCTTCTTCTTCTTCTTCTTCTTCTTCTTCTCCTCTTTCTTCTTCTTCCTCTTCTTCTTCTTCTTCTTCTTCTTCTCCTCTTTCTTCTTCTTCCTCCTCTTCTTCTTCTTCAACTGATTGACCCGGATTTCTCAACTTTGCCAATCTGATAAAGACTTCGTCGGATAACAAAAAAACAAATATGTTGCTGGAAGGTTGCGAGTTAGGCTCCGGCCAGCACTGTTTGCGGAAATGCCCTCATTGGTGCAGTGCTAGCTATCGATTGTTTGCTGTCATTCTTGCGTGCCATACTGAACGGACTGGCTAGAACTCTCGGTCAGATGTGGTTATGTAACCGCACGTGACGCAAACAAATCCCGCCGCCTGTAATACGGGACCGGTGGTAATAGGGGTTATTACAATTGGGGTCGGGGAACGCACAGGCAACGGGGTCAGGTAATTGCATGCATGCGCGGTTGCACTTTGAGTGGTCAGGATGTAGTTGCTCCAACCCCTTACTCTTGCCTCTAACCCTAACTCTAAACTCTAGTCCCTAACCCCTAACCCTAGCTCCCTAACCCTAGCCTCTAACCCCTTACCCTAAGTCCAACCCTAAATTTAACCCTTAATCGCAGCCCTTAACTTTAACCGTGAAACTTCCAACTTCGGCAACAGGCCGAAAGTCAAGAAGGTCCACCGGCACTGGACCGAAAAAGGTAGACACGGCAACAATGAAACAAGACCGCCAGCAGAACATGCACCGTAACGCACAGCAGCACTATACCAACGTAATCACACCAACTAAAAATAATTAAGTACGTCAACAGTATTGTGTCCATCAGGTGCGGCTACCCAACCACATATTACCGAACATTTAATGCGTTATTCTATCTTTAGAGTGGCGAAAGAAAAGCCCTCTTCTCGGGCGTACTTATCTAGAACTGCAAGTAGCCGCACTTTATCGCCAGTTTTCCTAAGCAGCAATTTGTCTTTAGGTCGCCACCTCGGATCAAAAGTGCTCACAGATTTGCAGTGTTGGTTAAGGCAGAAATAAGTTTTAACGGAAGAAAAGCATCTCCTTGTGGTGTTGTCACAAAAATACCGATTGTAGAATTGCGCAAGATCGGGATGAGATTAAACGCTGCTGTCAGTTGGCTCATTATTACCGAGAGAAAACTGGAAAAGATCGATTTTTATATTACCTAAGGTTCGACCGACTGCCACCGCGAGCCAGGACATTAAAACGCCGGATGCGGTCGCACACATCTTGCACTATTCGGCACCCAGAGTTTCATGAACGCGAGTCGAAGACAACTTTATTGCACAAAGATGCGACGCCGTGACCTTAATAGGCAAACAGATCTGCGGGTAAGTGCACTTATAGGTGAGTAAACGGCATTAGGAAGCAGCCATTGCAAAATGGCCTCGTAAAGAAGAGAAAAACACTACTTCAAATGGCTGTCTTCAAATCCGCAGCATCTAGCAGGCAGTGGAAGCTCCGACATGCATGCAGTGCCCAGGTGCGCACAAAAAAAACAGGTTTTCACCGAAACGGGAAGTGGTCGATTCGGATCCTATCTGACTGTAAATGCCATAGAGGCCACATTAAGAAGAATCTACTGCAGCCTTTCTCCTCGTCCTGAGAGGAGGGCCTAGGTATCCCGTCTGTGGGCAGTCTTCCAAGTCACGACTTTTGGCGCGCAAGACTGTTTATAGTGAGGAATGCGCTAAGGTGCCCTGGGGATGGAAACCCCAGAGTCGATTTCATTCTCTCTCTCCCCCCCCCTCCACGCACCAGCCCACTGTCAGAGCCGGTCGGGCATCTAATACTGGGATTGGCCGCAATTGGCTAAGAGAATTTAATAGCTCTACCCGCGCCACACACGACTTCCTCACATAACGCGTCGTGTTTTCACGCAGAGGAACTAGGCGCACGCATGGAACCAAGTCAAAAATGCATCAACAGACACGCTTTGACGACCCACTGGGTCAGGGTCAGAGTACGGCGGCGCCACTTGATGCAGGCTGAGATGCACGGTAGTCTGTCCATAGGGGGAGCGTGGGTGGGGACAGAATCGATTGGTGTGTGCGAAAATATTACGCAACCTCCGTTTCAGATTATTTTCCCTTGCTCTCGGATTCTTTCAGTAAGACTATGCCGTATTCCGTCTGCCTAGCTGGTTTTTTTCATCAAGGCCTGGCGACGCTGTGGTGTCGATCGATATTTACCTCTTTACCAATTGGCCGCACCTGGACGAGGCTCAGATGCATGCATTTCAGCTGTCACATTCCTGCTTAGGATCGTCTCAGTATTTTAGTTTCGGTGACGGAAGCATCACAACCGGTCTCTCTCAGTCCAAAGAACATTGTTTTTCCGATGGTCGATGCAGCGTATCCTGTCCGGGCTATCAGGACATCATGCCAAATGCGCGTGACACGCGAACGATCAAGGTCATGTACCACTGTTCAGACCTTTGCACTGATTGGCCACCCATCAGCCCATGAAATTCTCCTCTACCATATAGCCAGCCGGTTCCACAAGCCTCTTCACTCGTGCTGTCTCTCGTAGTCATTACAGTCCTATTCCCGACTAACCTTCTGTTTTGCATACATAACAGTCGGTACTCAGGGATGTTTGAGGATCGCACGTTCAGCTTCGTATGATTGAGGTTGAGTCAATTCCGGGTGGCGTTAATGGGAGTGGGCTGGAACACCCAATAGGTTTAATTCGGAGTTCGAAGGTGTGTGAGGTCGATTTAAGGTCCCAGTCCTTATGGACAACCGCGCTGCGTTTCTCACTACAGTGAACCTGAGATGCTACTGAGCTCTGTTTATCCATTAATACTAGTAGTATGAAGAGTTGTCAGTTGAAGGGGGAACTTGACCTTACTCCTGACTGGTGGTCATGATGAGATGGCTCCTTCTCCAAGGAGCCTTCATGATAACGCCCCTCGATTGGTGGCCCGAGGCCTCCCCTGTGTTCTGACACAAGAATTTGTGCGTGACACACACATGTGCGGAGTCTTGACGTAACGTTGGCAGTTGAGCACAATCTCATCCTCAGGTAGTCTGACTTCATATTTCCACTGAGGAGGGAAGGGAAAAAGATAGGTAGGGGTAATTAGTCATTATCTGTACGGCTGTCCACTGACGGGATCACTCCATCCTAAAACTGCCTTTTCGAATATGACCTCCGTGGCACAGTCACCCACTTTAGACAAATGACGTCCAATTCTGAAGTGGGTTTCGTATGTGGTGTGACAGAGCACGATAGTGAATCCACTTGAACCACGAGGAATATCTCTGGTTAGAAAAGGCCGCAGCGTGCGAATACATTCAAACCGCAGCAGACCTTTCGCGACTTTCACCTGACGGTTCGACCGTCGGTTTCGACGATGTCCACCGTGTATTGCAGAGCAGAGTGCAGCAGGCACGGTGACTTGCGCGTGAACTGGTTTATAGTGATAGTAGACTTGCGCAGCATCTACCGCTCTCTCTCTCTCTCCCTCTCTGTCTATCCCCCACTCCCCACTTGGACCCGGTGTCAAGACAGTCAGGAGGACCGGAGGTGGGGGCGCCGGTGGCTGGCACGAGCGAGCCCGCACCTTGGCGTTCCACTCAACACCCCCTGGTCCACGACGTACACTTGACCAGGATTTTTCACTAACAACAACACCCCAACAGAGGTCAGAAGGACAAGGATGACTGGGCAGATACGCCCATCACCTGTATACTCAGCGGAATCGCAAGCGCATCTACCGACAGAGAATCAGGTGTCGGGGAACTGCCAGCGCATACCAGGCTGCGAGGGCCATGACTTTCTGATACCAGCATAGCACACGCTTCCAGACCTTTTGACAACTTTCATCCACAATGGTAGGAAGAGGTGAAGTAGGCTAGAAGCATGATGTCTGCGCAAGTGCGGGGGATGATTGTGATTCAGAGTCTGTCAGTTGACAACCATCAGTCCCATTAGGAACAGGATACCGGGCAAAGGGGGTTAACTATCGCCATAGAAACCACCACATCCCTCCTCCTTAAAACTGCAGAGTATAGATGGACGAACCTCTGTCGACAGTGCGACACCACGTCGAGCGACGCCGCTAAATTCTGTGATGTGCGATGACAACATATCCTCCAATGCAGTACACTTGTCCGCTTATTAACTGTCTGCAGAATAAACAGTCGATTTCTCAGAGCGTATGGTCTTCCCGCATTTTGGTTTCTATCACGAAAACTACCTGCTTGTAAATCCGGGATGTCTCTGACCACTAAGCACTCACCAAAAACAGTCCTCAGAAGTCTGCGTAAGGTGCTGTTTCCTGATTGGACAATGCAGGAGCCAACAGGAATAGAGACGAACCCCACTTGCTGTCTGTTCAAACACTACATGCGTGTTACAAAGGAAGGAGGACTAGCCGTTACTGCCCTCCTTGCAGTTGTTTTCTTCCTATGGAGACTTGATTTTGGCTGGCCGCTGATTTCGCTTTGGAATCCCCTTCGCACACTGACATTCTACGTGCCTACTCCGACAGAGCGTGAGCCGGCAAACTTCGATGCGCTTCTGAGACAGGCGCGCTCAATTGTCACTGAGTTGTGGAGACTGAATACTGCCCAGTTTCCAACCACCCCCCAAAAGTCCCCCGCTGTGGGACAGCTCAGCGCTCTCCTGTCTCAGGCGACCCAGCAGCTCGCTGGAAGACTGTCCCTCCTTGACAAGCTCAGTGGTCGCCGTCAGGCAAGACAACGACGACTGGATGTGCTGGGGTCAGAACTGCAGCAGGAAATTTCCAGGCTACAGAATCCTCCAGACTGTAGTCCATCTCATGTCTCCCTGGAGTACGGTCGATACAACTGTGGATTCGGGTGTACAGCGCATCACATAGCTTACAGACTGGCAATGGCCTTCGCCACAAATCGCACACTGATGCTAGAGCACGATTACGGGAACGACTTTTTCCTGCCGTTGTCCAACTGTTCGAGGGCGCAGATCGAGTCGGCAAAGTCAGATGGATACCAGTACTGTCCAACAGATCCCAAGGAGTGGACAAGAAGACTGAGTGAAGTACAAGGAAACCCTACAGCCTGGTATCGGGGACATCTCCTGGTCTACATTCTCCGTCCAAGAGATCCCGTCCTGCGACGTAGGCTGGAAACGGAGGTACGAACTTTACGGACAGGCGCAGGTGGTGGCGCTTATGATGGACCAATTGCCAGCATACATGTTCGTCGAACCGATAAGCTCTACGAGGAGGCAGCCTTCCATCCGCTGGATGAATACATGCAACATGTGCAACGTTTCTTTGACGTAAAGGAGGTGGAATACAGTTTGGAAACTGGCAGCTCGAGTCCGCCCCCCTGGTCTCAACAGAGGCGAGTCTTTCTGGCGTCAGATGATGCATCGGTTTTCGAGGAGGCCAGGTCGGGCTACGCCAGATATGAGTTTATCGGTCGCCCCAGAAAAGGCAGTCAATATGAAAATCGACGCTCTACGTTGGGTGTGTTTGCCATCACTCTGGATATCTATCTCTTGGCTGCCTCCGACTTTGTGGTCTGTACAGCGACCTCCAACATTTGCAGGCTCGTGTACGAGCTCCTGTTGGCAAAGCCTCAGGTACACGGGGATGCAACGTTCCAAGTTCAGTCTGTGGATGAGATGTACCAGCGGTACTTCACGCGAAGACGCTGGTGGAGAGCCATTGCAGATTTCAGGCAGGAGGGCGTCAAGTTGGGCGACGTTATACCCATCGCTTCCACACAGTGGGACGGCTTTGTGCGAACGGCTTGTACCATACTCTCACCTCAGGAGACAATTCTGCCTACTTATCTCTTTCAGGAGATTACTCAAACTGTGGAGTGACCTGTAGCTGGACGCAGGACGTATGTTTACAGATAAATACGAAAATTTTATTATCACCTTTATTTCTCCACTCCTTAATGCAATCCCAACGTCCGAGTTAAGAAGCAGTTGTTAGTTACATTGAAACTCTGTAGGTTTTAATTGGAATTACTCAACAGACATAGTCAGGTGAATGCATCTGCGGGGTCGAATAGTTCCGACAGTTCGGGCGTCGTTGGCGATCATGTCCACCGTGTGGCCCAGACCATGGTGAGAGCATGTTGCGGTGGTCTGTGCGCTACCGTTACCTGGCCAGATCCCAAGTTGAAGGGAAAAGACAGAAGGAACCTGAATGTGGGGTTAAATTGATACAAAACCCAGAGTTGTCCTCTCAGGCGACAGCGGCCACTGGCGAAACCAGGGCTGATGTTTACTGCGTCCAGTCAGGCTTGAGAGTCCATGCGATAGTGTTGGCAGCCGCTTTTGTAGGCGCGTGGGCCAAGCTCAAGTGGTGGCCAGTCAGTGTGTGTTGCATTTGCCGAGGGGTGGTGTCCCATTGGCTTAGGTTGCAGTTGCAGGGGGAGGTGCGTTCAAGTGGCCGCATGGGTAGCTGCAGCTAAGCGGACGCAGGTATGCCCGAGCTGCCGGTCGCGTGACTTTAGGCCAGCGCGCCTGGAACGGCCCACTGCAAACGGGTGGATGCCCTTGAGGCAGCGAGGTCTTGAACAATGACGCCAGACCGGTCATAACCGCCCGCTACATCGGGACACGATGGCTTGTACTTACGACTTGCGCGTAGTGTCTACCGTAATCTCTCCCTCTCCCCCATCTGGCCAGACCAAGTCAAGGATACCGGAGGTGGGAGAGGGCACGGGTGCCTGACGCGGCTGAACCCGCACCTAGATGTTCCACCACAGCCCCTGGTCCACACAAAAAACACTTGACCAAGATTTTAACCAACAAGGGCAATAACGGGGGTGGGGGGTGGGTGACGTGAGCCTGTAACTGGGTCTACCACCATACCCCGAATGTCAACATTTGTTATGGATTGCGAAAACTCCCATTGAAGAATTCGAAAGACAATTTGGCGTGCGCTTTCGGTAGATTCTCTCCAGGCCTATGCATTTATATTGCTTTTGAAGGCAAATACGTTCTTTGGAAAAAGGAGAAAACTTTATCGAGTAAATTTTCGACGCCGGTTCTCCGTGTCGTCGTCAGGCTCGAGTAATGTGCAAAAAAAATTAACATTTCAAACGTGCCGAAAAATCGATATTCGTTTGGTGCTTCAGCCAGTGAGCGGCTGTCGTGTGCGTCAGTCCGTATTGATCAGCTTTTGTCCCTTCCACTGTTCCCTGAGATTTTTGTACATGGCATCTAACTCAATATGCCTATTGATGTATGACTCATCGGAGTGCATGGCTTCAAGAAACTCTCGGCCTTTTTTAGACGGACAAACTCCGACGATGCTAGTTTTGTCCAATGCGAAAGTGTGCCTAGTATCAAGAGTGTGCATGGCCATTTGAGACAAGTGGTCTCGCCTCCTGACTGCAAGTTGATGTTCGCGGATGCGTGTAAAGGCAAATTTTCCCGTTTGGTCACAATATACGGCATCACAGGCATCGCATGAGATCTTATAGACGACTTCCTTTTTATCGAGGTAGCCAGCCCTATCCTTAGGGCGTACAAGCTAAATGCGTAAAGTAGTCGTGGGCTTGTGCGCCACTTTTATCTGGCGTTTCCTCAAGTGTCTTTCAACAAGTTCAGACACATTCCTGATGTAAGGAAGGATTCGCCAAGTGTTTGCTTTGGGCGCTTGATTGGAGCTATCTAGTTCCTTTGCTTTTGTTTCTTGTTGTCTTATGCATCGACGTACGAAATCTCTAGGGTAACCATTCTGGGGGAATAATTCAAACAGATAGTTTAGGTCAACTTTGTAGTTTTCTTCATCAGAGCAATGTGTTTTTGCTCTGTGTATCGGACTTTTATATTGCTATCGAAATGATTAAGATGAAAGTGTGGGCAAGCAGAAGTTATTCTGTAGCTGGGGTTTGGGGTGCGAGGGTCTAGCTGGGTGAAGTAAAAAACAAAATTACCGTCAGTGTCAGGGATTGTGGATGCACATTCTCGATACCGCCTGCCGGACTCATCTATAGCCCCCCTCTCCCCCCCGTAGCCCGTTTTAGGGGGCCTGGGATCGAGCAACTACAGCATAAAAGAAGACGAAGGCACGATCACTGGGACGGTAGATTTATTGGCCTTAGCTTTCGAACTCGAACTCACACAGTCCCACAACAACCACCTATTGGTGCACAAACGGGGCTGTGTGGGGGCGCTTTTCGACCGGGTAAAAACGCACTGTAGCGAGCCCGGAGGAAGGATACAAGAACTACGGCATCTCAGGGACCAATTAACAAAAAACGGCTACCCAAATAGTTTCATCAGCCGCTGCATACGCACGCACCCACGACTGACAAACGGAAGAGAGACACCAACAATTGGGCACTCCCTACCGTACATAAAGAATGTGTCCGAGGCTACAGAACGCATTGCGTCACAGTTAGGTGTGGGCATCGCTCATCATCCAGCGGTTACCATGCGTAGCAGGATCATCAAAATGAAGGATCGGCTGGAGACAGGTGAGCAGTCGGGCGTAGTCTATCAAATCCCGTACCATAACTGTCCTTGCCACTACACAGGCCAAACAGGACGTCTCAGCTCAAGAATATTGAGCACAAACGGGCCGTTCGGAGAGGCGATCCACTATCCCAAGTCGCCACTCACACGCTGGAGGATTAGGTGTTGGGGTGACTATTTCTCAACCACTCAAAATACAACCGCGCATTCTTAATAGCTTTTCTTTTGCTCACAACTACTTGGCCTCGTCGCCTGTGGGTTCCCCGGCCCAACCTGTAAACGCCCCTGCTACCACCGGTCCGGTATTACAGGTGTCTAGGGTTTGTTTACTTCTGATGGGGATACATAACCACATCTGACTCAGAGCTCTTCCCCAGAAAAGGTCCACGATAGTTAAGAACTGAGTGCTCCCTTCCTAGATTTTTCGTCACAGGGAACTCAAGCTCTCTGTCTGTCAATTAGATTTAGCGCCAAAATCTTTCTCTGCTTCTTTGGCATTAAGAATCTACCCACTAACCAAATCTAGTAAGCGCTTGTGACGATTCCCGAGAGGATGAGTATCTTATTGCTGATAGTTTTAATCTGTTTTCGCTCCCCAAACTAGAGGTCTTAACCGTCACCGTGCTTAAAAATAATAACTCCGCATTCGACAAATTAAAACCTGACGATATTCGTCATTCTTTCTCTCTCTCTCCTGCTCACTTCCTCGCCTACAACTCCTGCAAAATTTTGATTCTTGATTTTCTTACTTTCTGTGGTGTCCTTTGCTAATTAAATTCTAGCAGACAACTGGAAAACCGTATCACAGAAGTCTTTGGAAACTAGAGCTCAGTTGTTGACTTTAGGAATTGGTAATGCAGCCGCACACGATGACTCCGAAGTCGTATTTGGCCCATCCTTTTCGACCTCAGATCCTAGCTCGAGTGGTGTCTTTCTGGATACTGTCTTATTCGTGTGCTCGGCCTCTTCAAGGACAATGACAACGATCAAAATGTGTTTCTCATCTGAGGATACTAAACCCCTAGACAATACGTCTAAACCCACTCTCTTTCAGCTTACTCCTACATCCCTATGTACCAAAATTAGAACCTCGGATTCATTGCAACTGTTTAGACATTTCTTTACATTGAGAGCTCGAACGTCCTTTCCGGGGATGTCCACCGTATGTTCCACAGCAGCGTGGGAGTAGAGAGGGTGACTTAAGCGTGAATGCGTTTATAGTGGTAGCAGACTTGTGCTCCGTCTACCGCTCTGTCTCATTCTACCCTATCTGGGCCCGGTATCAAGACCGAGAGTGGAAGAGGGCGCAGGCGGCTGGTGCGGCAGGAACCTCCGCCTAGGCGTGCCATCACACTGTCATGTGCTCCACACCAGAGTTAGAGCAGGCACGGTGACTTGAGTGTGAGTAAGTTGTTAGGGGTAGTAGAATTGTAGTGGGGCGCTCACCGATCGTTCTTATAGAACTCATTCGTTCTATTGTGCTATATGGGCTCGCTCTCGAGCCCAGCCGGCAGTCGCACGGAGGTGTATGATATATAGGCAGAATGCTATTACCGGCAAAGACAAGGGAGACTGGACTAAAGACAGTCTACCTTATGGTAGCAGACTTGCACAGCAGCTGCCCTCCCCCCTCCTGGGCCCTGCGTCAAGACATAGTCAAGAAGACTGGAGGCGCGAGAGGACTCAAGTGGTTAGCACGGCCGGACTCGCACCTAGGCATACCAACACAGCCCTTGGTTCACAAAAACACTTGGCCAGGATTTTAACCAACAGTAACAAGAGGGACAGCTGGCGCGGCCGGAGCTGCCCCTAGGTGTGCCACCACACCCGTCTCGGGTCACACTGGGTGGGAGTGCCATAAAGGTGACAGTAAGAAGGAGCCACTGCAGCCTGACTCTCAGACCGCCAGTACACCATCCCACACAAACACACAATGGGCTGATTGAGAGGTCCAAGTTATCCTGTCAGTTTGGCAACTTTCCAAGCTGCGGCTTTTGACGTACCGTGAAAGCCTCAGACAAGTCAGATTGTTTATAATTAGGGAGATGAACTGAGTCGCTGGCTTCATTCTCTGTTCTCATTCCCAGGCCTGAGCCACTATCTGAGCCGGTCAGTTTGTGGCGGTCAAGGATGCAAGATTAACTGCTATCGCACACAATAATTCCGTTCCGTCTACTGTCAGAAATCAGGGAGCTGTGAGAACAGGTTTATTCTGTACACAGGGTAGGTTGCCATGAGTTGACCGTTTGCTTGTGTCGGAGCTAAGCGTCTGTAACCGGAGAGTGTTAGTCGTAGTGTGAATGTCTGTGTCAGCAGCAGGGGGTGACGGGCTGAGTGTTGGTCATGTGATTGGACAGAGTAGGGGGGGAATAGGGGAGGGACACATG